GATATGATCTCCATGTATAATACATAAGGGGGATATGATCTCCATGTATAATACAGAAGGGGGGATATGATCTCCATGTATAATACATAAGGGGGGATATGATCTCCATGTATAATACATAAGGGGGGTATGATCTCCATGTATAATACATAAGGGGGGATATGATCACATGTATAATACATAGGGGGGGGGATATGATCACCATGTATAATACATAAGGGGGATATGATCTCCATGTATAATACATAAGGGGGGATATGATCTCCATGTATAATACATAAGGGGGGATATGATCACCATGTATAATACATAAGAGGGGTATGATCTCCATGTATAATACATAAGGGGGGATATGATCATCATGTATAATACATAGGGGGGGGGATATGATCACCATGTATAATACATAAGGGGGATATGATCTCCATGTATAATACATAAGGGGGGGATATGATCTCCATGTATAATACAGAAGGGAGGATATGATCTCCATGTATAATACATAAGGGGGGATATGATCTACATGTAAAGTACATAAGGGGGATATGATCTCCATGTATAATACATAAGGGGGGATATGATCACCATGTATAATACATAAGGGGGGATATGATCCCCATGTATAATACATAAGGGGGGATATGATCTACATGTAAAGTACATAAGGGGGATATGATCCCATGTATAATACATAAGGGGGGATATGATCTCCATGTAAATACATAAGGGGGGATATGATCCCCATGTATAAATACATAAGGGGGGATATGATCTCCATGTATAATACATAAGGGGGGATATGATCTCCATGTATAATACATAGGGGGGATATGATCACCATGTATAATACATAAGGGGGGATATATCTCTATGTATAATACATAAGGGGGGATATGATCATCATGTATAATACATAAGGGGGGATATGATCTCCATGTATATACATAGGGGGGGATATGATACCATGTATAATACATAAGGGGGGATATGATCTCCATGTATAATACATAAGGGGGGATATGATCTCCATGTATAATACATAAGGGACGGGATATGATCATCATGTATAATACATAAGGGGGGATATGATCTCCATGTATAATACATAGGGGGGATATGATCACCATGTATAATACATAAGGGGGGATATGATCTCCATGTATAATACATAAGGGGGGATATGATCTCCATGTATAATACATAAGGGGGATATGATCTCCATGTATAATACATAAGGGAGGGGATATGATCATCATGTATAATACATAGGGGGGGATATGATCTCCATGTATAATACATAAGGGGGGATATGATCTCCATGTATAATACATAAGGGGGGATATGATCTCCATGTATAATACATAAGGGGGATATGATCTCCATGTATAATACATAAGGGGGGGATATGATCTCCATGTATAATACATAAGGGGGATATGATCTCCATGTATAATACATAAGGGGGGATATGATCTCCATGTATAATACATAAGGGGGGATATGATCTCCATGTATAATACATAAGGGGGATATGATCTCCATGTATAATACATAAGGGGGGATATGACCTCCATGTATAATATCGTATGTACTCTCCAGCGCCTCAGGAAATGCACAGCCAAAGGAAAGCCAAGAGAACCAGGACAGCAACAACCAAAGGAGATGCTTCAGGGGTGTAGCCCTCCTCAGACGGCGAGATCAGCCACTAGATAAAGAATTATCAGATGGCACACACCTAGTGCATTATCCAAGGTTTATTCAAACGTATAAGGATGAAAAACATACTCACAGACGAAGCGTATCTAATAAGCATTTGTATTATGAAGATGGCCACAACGGCAAGCAAGGTTTTCCAAATGCGGTCAAAGGGTTGACACATTTCGGGGACAAGTCCCTTTCCTATGAGCTGCTGACCAGCCTCTAGGACTGGTCCAGATGTGTAGTAGATATGGTAGATATGGTGGACCGATGTTAGGGGCCTTGCTGCTGATGCTGATGCCTTTTGTGGTATTTAGCACTGCGGTACTTTAACTGCTAATTACGTGGTCATGCAACGCTGTACCCAAACTAAATTTATATTTTTTTTTTCACACAAATAGAGCTTTCTTTTTTATTATAAAAGTAATGGCGGTGATCAGCGACTTATAGTGGGACTGTGATGGTGTGGCGGGCAATCTGACAATAACTGACACTGGGTGGGAACTGACTGACAAAGACATCACCAATGACACTAATACAATGATCAGTGATGATATTATACACTGTCACTGTACTATTGACACTGGCTGGGAAGGGGTTAACATCTTGGGGCAAAGTCTGTGCTTAACAAGCATTCAATTGAATAAGGTGTGCTGCTTTTTACAAAAAATCTCTTTGTTCCCTCTGTACAGAGCCCTGTGTTGATTGCCAACACAGGCCTCTGAGCTGTGATTGGACACCAATCACCAGGTCCTGGCCATGAATCATTGATCGGGACCTGCTGACAACATCCCGCTCTGTCCAATCACAGCAGGAGTCGGCGGGAGGGGGCACGCGCGCTCCCTGTACCTGAGAGAGGCCAGTGACGTCAATGTACATTACAGGGGGGGCGGTCCTTAAGTGGTTATATTATACATGTGTGACGTCACTATTCAGTAAGGTGCAGGAGGGCAGTATTTTCAGTATGACATTAAGATCCAAATCACATGGACATCACCTCAAACTAGCAGAAGGAAAGTTCACATCTAACTACAGATGATTATTTTACCAAAAGAGTAGTTGATGCTTGGAACAAACTTCTAGCAGATATAGGGGGTGAGTTAACAGTGAGGGTTTGTGCACATGAACCAAAAGCTGGCCAAAGGTGGCCTGAAGTTTGTTCGGTTCAGCAGGTACTGGCCAAACTTTGATCAGTGTGTGTCGATCGTTTGATCGACTCCTGACGAACGAACATGAAAGCAGGACCAACCATGACTGAGTCACCCACACACTCCGGAGCTGTGTGCGTAGTGACATCATGTCTAAAGAGCTGTGTGAGAAGTGACATCATGACTCTGGAGCTGTGTGAGTAGTGACATCATCCCTCTGGAGCTGTGTGAACCATGACTTCATGACTTCAAAGCTGTGTGAGCAATGACATCATGACTCCAGAGCTGTGTGAGCAGTGACATCATGATTCGGGAGCTGTGTGAGCAGTGAAATCATGACTCCAGAGCTGTTTGAGTAGTGACATTATGACTCCAGAGCTGTGTGAGTAGTGGCATCATCCCTCTGGAGCTGTGTTAGTAGTGACATCATGACTCCGGAGCTGTGTCAGCAGTGACATTATGATTCGGGAGCTGTGTGAGCAGTGACATTATGACTCTGGAGCTATGTGAGCAGTGACATCATGACTCTGGAGCTGTGTGAATAGTGGCATCATCCCTCTGGAGCTGTGTTAGTAGTGACATCATGACTCTGGAGCTGTGTTAACCATGACATCATGACTTCAGATCTGTGTAAGCAATGACCTCATGATTCCAGAGCTGAGTGAGCAATGACATCATGACTCTGAAGCTGTGTGAGCAATGACATCATGACTCCAGAGGTGTGTGAGCAATGACCTCATGACCCCCGAGCTGTGTGAGTAGTGACATCATCCCTTCAGAGCTGTGTGAACAGTGAAATCATGACTCCAGAGCTGTGTGAGTAGTGACATCATGCCTCTGAAGCTGTGTGAAAAGTGACATCATGACTCCGGAGCTGTGTGAGCAATGACATCATGACCCCTGAGCTGTGTGGGTAGTGATATCATGACTCCGGAGCTGTGTAGAAGTGACGTTGCTGCTATCAAATGTTGTTATATGTTTTGAATATGACATAATTGGTCCAATAATGTCACATCATATATTTTTGGACTGACACTGCTATTGATCAGACCTAGTTTTACCATGACAGGTACCATATTGCAACTCACAGATAACGAATGAATTTGCAGCTGTGACATCACTACTATCTAGATATAGGTTATTTGTTGCACATATGATGTCTCAATTCTTGACCTCTATCTGACAGCAGAAAGTCATAGCTTTGGATATCATTCCTAGAAATGGCGAAGTCTTTTTAAATATAATATATACCATGACACATAGGGCGGTCTGGGAGGAACCATGTGCCTAAACAGCCCCAGACCCCCAAAGTCCTCCTGTACCCTTCCATCCCCATCTCACTATGTGGACTGGAGTCAGGTGCCGTTGTGATAGTACAGATAAAACTGACCCAGCATTTCCTGGAAACCCATCAGACTTTCAGAGAAACAGCTCAACAGACTCGGCACTGCTATTCAGGAGATAAAACTCCGCCAAGCAAGCCAGCTCTCTGTATATTTACTGCGCGCCTCCGCCTTCCCCAAATACAAATCAATATCTGCCTGGAGGATCTCCAAGAGATAGCCGGGATCATTAGTGAAGTGCTGCACGTCCCAGCGTTGGCACGTCACCATCGGGTCTCCTTCAGGTGTAGAAGAGTAGTTGTGCCATTGCGAAAAACATTTTCCCCGTGTTCAGATATCATGTTCTAATCCCTCTCCGCGCCATCCAAAACTACAAAATACAAGTTTTCCCTTTAGTTATACTTTAGACCATTTAGACCAGTGTTTCTCAATCTTTTTTTTTATTCAAAGCGCACTTTATAAAATTATGGACAATGTCAAAGCACCCTCTAAAATTACGGACAATGTCAAAGCACCCTCTACAATTATGGACAATGTCACAGCTCCCTCTAAAATTATGGACAGTCTTGAGGCACCCTCTAAAATTATGGAAAATGTCAAGGCACCCTCTAAAATTATGCACAATAACAAAGCACCCTCTAAAATTATGCACAATGTCAAAGCACCCTCTAAAATTATGGACAGTCTTGAGGCACCCTCTAAAATTATGGACAATGTCAAGGCACCCTCTAAAATTATGCACAATGTCAAAGCAGCCTCTAAAATTATGGACAGTCTTGAGGCACCCTCTAAAATTATGAACAATGTCAAAGCACCCTCTAAAATTATGGACAATGCCAAAGCACCCTATAAAACTATGGACAGTCCTGAGGCACCCTCCAAAATTATGGACAATGCCAAAGCACCCTCTAAAATTATGGACAATGCCAAAGCACCCTATAAAATTATGGACAGTCTTGAGGCACCCTATAAAATTATGGACAGTCTTGAGGCACCCTCTAAAATTATGGACAATGTCAAGGCACTCTCTAAAATTATAGACAACGTCAAGGCACTCTCTAACATTATGGACAGTCTTGAGGCACCCTCTAAATTTATGGACAATATCAAAGCACCCTCTAAAATTATGGACAGTCTTGAGGCACCCTCTAAAATTATGGACAATGTCAAAGCACCCTATAAAATTATGGACAATGTCAAAGCACCCTCTAAAATGATGGACAGTTTTGATGTACCCTCTAAAATTATGGATAACGTCAAGGCACTCTCTAAAATTATGGACAGTCTCTAGGCACCCTGTCAGGAATGGACTGGCCAGCAATGGTGGGACTCACCTGCCTTTTGATCTGCAGTACCAGGGCTGGCCAGCGGGTGCTCCCAGCAATCAGAGACTCAACTTTGCAGCCAGCTAACACCTGGAACTGATTATGCTGGGGTATTTAAGGGATGGCCAGACCCACAGACTCTGCCTTGGTGTGTGTTTGTCCTGGGCCCTGTATCTGTCCTGCATCCTGTTTCTGTTCCTTTGCTGACCCTCTGTACTACGCTGCTTGCTACCTGTCCTGATCCCTGGCTTGTGACCCTGACCATCCCTCTGCCTGACCCTCTGTACTACGCTGCTTGCTACCTGCTGAACCTGGCCTGTGACCCCGACCATTCTCCGCTTGCTCCCCCTGTACCTACCTGCCCAATTGATATTGACCCGGCCTGCCTGACGACGCTTGCTTGTATGTACTGTTATCTGTGGGTGGTTGGTTTGGTTTGTTTGCACTGTATTATGTTTAGTATTGCACTGCGTTTATGTTTGTATTGTTAGTGTTAATAAATTATATTGTTTATCCCATATCTGAAGTCTGCGTTTCCCTGCGTTCAGTCACACATCTCTGGTCATACCTGGGAGCCCTGACACACCCTCTAAAATTATGGACAATGTCAAAGCACTCTCTAAAATTATGGACAGTCTTGAGGCACCCTCTAACATTATGGACAATACTGAGGCACCCTCTAACATTATGGACAGTCTTGAGGCACCCTCTAACATTATGAACAGTCTTGAGGCACCCCATCCTAAAATGTAAATATCTATATTAGTTTTATATAACGCAGCAACAGCCACGCATGTAGGAAACCCAACATTAGAGGGGATTTGTTCTTCCAAAGCAAATACACTTTTGCACACTGGTACTGACTAGTATGCCAATGTTTCTCCTCTCCCTCAGTTGTTCTCCATCACTCAGCTAATATGACCTCAGCACTGATGGAGAGGGGCAGGGGAGAGTCAAACAAGGATGCTGTGCTGGCAACCAACATCCTACTTATCAACTGATGATGTCATTGGTTGTCAGGATGCCGGCGGCTAGAAGCTTGTGATGGTGCACAATGAAAACCTGTGGCTTTGTGTAACTAAAAGGCAGACTTGATCCACATCTGGCTTGTACACAATTTAGCCAGGGCAACCCTAAAGAAACCTCAACGCACCTCAAGGTGCCTGGGCACCCTGGTTGAAAAAGGTTCCTTTAGACTGAATCAGTCACCAATGGGTAAGAATCTTTTTCATCACTCTGGAATTGAACTAAAAATGCAAGCCCCGCCTCTGTTTTCTTTTCAAATAAACATTATTGATCAAGCAGAATAATTCTTAAAGGGTAACTCCACTTTCATGGGAAAAAAATTTGCAAATAAAAAAAAAAATAACAGTGTATACAATTACAACACAAGTCATATTGTCATTGAATGTTATTAAAAATTCCCTTTTCAATCTGTAGTGCTGTCATTTTCTGTAAAATGCAATCAGGCCACCTGGAGGTGTTCTGCTCAAAGATGGCATACAGAACTCCTCTCAAAAATGTAATTTCCTGCTTGTGTGATTGGCTCACTGCACAAGTCTGCACCAAGATTCAATTCAGACTATCATGATCCCCTGCAACAAAATGTCATTTTTGGAGAGATACTCCCAAAGGGAAATCACATCTAAAGGGATGCAGACCCTGCCACTTTTCTGTACAATGCAATATGGCAACCTGGGGGCGTTCTGTACATAGATGGTGTACAGAACGCCCCATTCCCTCCCTCTCCCTTCCACTCAGCACCAATCCTCTTCTTTTTTTTTTTTTTAAGTCCTAGGGTTTTCTATATACTTTCAATAAATAATAATATTACAACACTACAGGAGTCATTCAGATTCTTACAAATGTCAAATTCTGACTGAAGAGTTGGAGATCAATTTGACTTTTTTTTTTTTTCCATTTCTTCCTACAAGTCAGTGTGGATGCATTATAAACCCCCATATACTACCTTAGGATAAAGTCCGGGTACAGAAAAAGATTGGCAGTTTTGGAAATGGTACAAATCTAGAACAATTCAGTCACAGCAAGGACAAGCTCCAAAACCTGATTTTCAGTTGCTCATAGGAGGCACCCTCCTAGGTAGGTACTAAGATTCAATAGATTGGATTGTGTCACTCTGTAGTCAGAGTGGCTGTAAATATTTACTAGGAAAAAAGCATAGTTAGCTCGCTGTGCAGGGTGAGCTGGGATCATTTAGTTAGGTCTGCTCTATGTGATCAGGTGCTGCTAGTTTCACTGGCTTCCTCTCTATCCAGGGACCTGCAGAAGTTTCTGGATGGTAGGTGTGCAGCAATGCAGATGACAGCATGAATATGGACGCAGCCTCAGCCTATCCCAGAGAAAGAGGCCCTAAGGCATGCTGGGTAACTGTATATATTCAGTGAGCACACGGGGCTCTTGGTCTTTTCCTGGATAGGATTGTCCAAGCCTGGTAGCCTCAGGTGGGCTACCTGAAGGCCTGAATTGCTGAGCCCCGGGTTCTGCTACGCTGGCTGAGAGGCTATCTCCTGAAGATCTGGTCTGGTATTACAGAGGAAGGTGTCCAGCTACTCTTGGGCCTTGTGAGTACAGACACCCCTAAAGGATCTTAGAGACTGTATGCTGTTTAATCTCCGCGGCGGTATGATTCTTTCCGATTTTTTGTGCTGAAAGCGATACCATTTTTTTGCGTAGAAATATGTAGTTTTTTATTGTAGGCTGTAATTTTTAGGAATAAACTCACTGAAATCTGTCCGAACAAGAGTCTATTAAACATCCCGGGTATGATAAAACTTGAAACACGAAATCATAAATTATAATTTAATAAATAATCATAAAAAATAATAATATAATAATAATACATTTAATTCAATAACATAATCAAACCAAAAACACTGAAATTTGAAATAAAGACGCAAATTCACACATCGCTGAGCAAAGTCGCAAAATCGTTTTCAGTGTCTGATGAGGAATTTCCCCCACGAATCATTATCACTCAATTCTGCAAGTGGTTCTGATTTACTATCGCTGTTCTCTAGCCGGTCTAAAACCGCTTTTGACGTAAAGGGACGCTTTTTGGACGCCATGGACTTTTCTAAGTTTCCAGGCAGAAAGAACAGTAAAAATGCAGGCAGGGCGCAGGACAAAGCAGTAGGGACAAAATATATGTGAAATGCATTGAAACAGCAATGACAGCAAAATTTCATTTTTTAAAAATTTCAAATTTCCCGCCGGTTCCGGCGCCCGTACGTCCCGACGTCACAGGGACCGGAACACAGGAGCCGGATGCCGGCTTCGGCCGGAGGAGATTGTCGGGGATGCTGCAGAGGGGACATTGCGGGAGCGAAGGACAAGGTAAGTACTGCAGGGACTCCTTGAGCAACGCCGCATGGTAAGCCCGAGTGTAGCTCGGGGTTACCGCTCTTGGTACTGAAATTTTACCCCAAGCTACACTCGGGAATACCGCTAAGGAGGTTAACCCCCTCTAGTGTTAGTAGATCAGCTGTGGGTCCAGCAAAAGGAACACCGGCCAGTGTTCCAAAGATCTTTGTCCATCTGCTCACTACTACCTAAAGTGATACTAAAGTCTTGTATTTTTTTTTAAAATAACAAACATGTTATACTTACCTGCTCTGTGTAATGGTTTTGCACAGAGCAGCCTGGATCCTCCTCTTCTTGGGTCCCCCACTGGGGCTCTTGGCCCCTCCTTCCTGTTGAGTGCCTCCACAGCAAGCAGCTTGCTATGGGGGCACCCAAGAAGGTGCCCTCCCCAGCTGCAGTTCTGCGTGTTTATTTACACACAGATCCACAGCTGCCCCCCTCCTTCTCCAGCCAAGCAGGAGTGAGAATCCCTGGAGAACTGTGGCTCTTGTGGACATTGCTGAAACAGGATGGGGCTCAGGTAAGTGCTGGGGGGGGGGGGGGGGGCTGCTACACACAAACAAACCTTGATCCTTTACAACCACTTTAAAGGGACACAGCTCTGGGAGCTTACCGTTACTACTTGTTGCTACTACCTTAGGCTGAAGTCCAGTGTTTGATTCAAGCAACGACTCCAATACAGGGGCGGACTGACAACTCATGGGGCCCCTGGGCAATAGGGGATCAAGGGGCCCCTGTGTCCTTGCCCAAACTCAAAAAAGCCTATGTAAAAGGTACCAGGGGCATCTCATGGGGCCCCTTACTGACCCCAGGGGATCATGGGGCCCCTGTGTCCTTGCCCAAACTCAAAAAAGCCTATGAAAAAGGTACAAGGGGCATCTCATGGGGCCCCTTACTGACCCTGGGCCCTCGGTCAGTGTCCGAGTTTCCAAATTGTCAGTCCGCGCCTGCTCCAATACAGCTTGCTCTGAAGATTAACCCCTTTGCACCAGCGCCTCCCAGCCCTTTAAGTGTTTCATAAGCCTGGAGGCGGGGCGGGGTTTTAGGGTCATGTGACCGCCGTGATTCGCTGTCACGGCGGTCACATGATTGGAAAAGGTCCTGATCGCAAGGGGAGATCAGGATCTTTCCATAAGACACAGAACCATGGAATGTTTGGGTAGCCAATAGGAGGTATCCACGTCCCCCAGGCAAAGACATACACACCCTAAAGAAAGACCCTCCACACCTACAGGAAAGATGATAGAAGACTTGGGCACAGCATGAGACCACAGATTTAGGTAAGTTAAAGGGGCTTTTAGATTAGTTATGGGGGGCAGGTTTGGGGGGGAGAGGGGGTTAAATGGTGGAGGGTTATGCTGAGAGTTCAACTCTATAAAGCCCAACTCCAGCCAAGACTTTTTAGTTTGCTCTGGATAGATAAGGGGAAACTATCTTGGAGGTTCCCCTCACCTCCTATCAGAAGAGGAAGTTGGGAGTAAAACAACATTTTTATCAGGAAAAATGAGAAGTGACCATGTATTCATTGCTGTCTGTGCCTTCCTCTCCCGGAGAAAAATGCTTCCCACATTTCTTGAACAGGCATCACAAGGGCAGAAAATGAGGGAAAATTCCTCCAATTGGGTCACAGACAGAAACTCAACATTTGAACTTCCCACACTATCCAAAGCTACAAAATATAGTTGGAGTTAGGCTTTAAGGCACCACAGAAGGACTATTATACATCGGGGGAGGGAGTGGTTTGTTTTTTTGTAGCCTCCCTAGCGGTCTGATTATGTCCATATTTCTGTGCTCAAAGCGGTACATTTTTTTGCATGGAAATATGTAGTTTTTTTTTTATTGTAGGCCTGTAATTTTTAGGAATAACTCACTGAAATCTGCCCGAACAAGAGTCTAGTAAACATCCCGGGTATGATAAAATTTAAAACACGAAATCATAAATTATAATTTAATAAATAGTAATAAAAAATAATAATATAATAATAATACATTTAATTCAATAATATAATCAAACCAAAAACACTGAAATGTGAAATAGAGCGCCAAGTTCACACATCACTGAGCTCAGTCGCAAAATCGTTTTCAGTGTCTGATGAGGAATTTCCCCCACGAATCATTATCACTCAATTCTGCAAGTGGTTCTGATTTACTATCGCTGTTCTCTAGCCGGTCTAAAACCGCATTTGACCTAAAGGGACGCTTTTTGGACGCCATGGACGTTTCTCAGTTTCCAGGCAGAAAGAACAGTAAAAATGCAGGCAGGGCGCAGGACAAAGCACTCGGGACAAAATGTATGTGAAATGGTTTGATACAGGAATGTTATACTATGTGAATTTAGTGTATTTAGTGAATGTCACTTTTACAACTTTCAA